GGCATTGATGACGGGGTAGTTGTTGAAGTGTTCGGAGCCGTGGTCAAAGGAGAGCCTGGGGAATCGGGAGGGTTTGCATCGTTGGGGCTATTTGATAAAGGGGCAAGCCTCATTGCCCCTAATAGAGGAGTTACGTCTTCATGATTGGCCATGGTAAGCCTGGAGTATGTTGGGAATAAATCAGTCCACCCCTCAGGGTCCCCTTGAGGGGTAAGGGCTAGGTAACTAAATCAGGGGAATACCGTGCCCATGGCTCCTGGCACAAAGTCAGCTGGCAAAATTGTCTCCACAATTACTTCCACTACATTTATTTCTACAGTATGGCGTAGAATCCATAAACTTTCAGGGAAACACCCCCTTCATCCTGCCCCAGTCCCTCACATCCGTAACACTCACTACAGAACTTGCTCCATATTTCAGCCAGGTCAGTAGTGGCTCTCACCTTTCTTCCCAGTTCCATTCCATTAACACAGCTAAGGAACACATTCTCATCTCCTCCTGTAGAGAACCCTACAATTCCTCATTCTCCTCAGCTGAGCTCCTTTTTGCCTTACAGTCGTGCTGCAATACACATGAAGGTCCTGATGGCATTCATTACCATATGTTACATTTTCCATCTATATCCTTATCCTTCCTACTGACACCCTTTAACTATATTTGGAAGACTGGAAACTTTCCTCCTCACTGGCTTGAAGCTCATATTCTACCTTTCCTTAAACCTAAAAAATCCGGCATCCTCCCTCAAGACTACCGGCTCATTGCTCTGACTCGCTGCTTGTGCAAGTTGCTATAGAGAATGGTCAATCTTCGACTAATGTGGTACCTTGAATCCAACAGTCTTCTATTTTCTCAATTTAGATTCTAATCCAAATGCAATCCAAAATGGCTTAATATCGGTATTACCACCAGGTATCCAATCCGCCCTAAATGTAGATAATTTTATCCTCTGTACATTGGGCCCTTCTGTACCTACTCTCCGTCAACTAATCCAGTCTGCAATATCTTTAATCTCTTCCAGGACCACCGACCACGGCTTCGGCTTTTCCGCTTCAAAATCCTTCTCCATCCTTTTTTCTCGATCATGTTTAGGTCCTCAACCTCCACTCTCTATATGATTCCCCTCTCCACTTTCGTTCCTCAGGCAAATTTCTTTGAGTCATTTTTGACTCTTGACTATGTCTGTCATATCTATTCCTCTGCCTTTACCTCTCTTACTACCATGATACTATCCACCACTGTGGTCTGCGCTTGGCCCTAGGCGCCTTCCGCTCGTCTCTGGTTGAGAGTTTATACGTTGAATCAAGCCTACCTTCCCTCTCTCGACGCCGTACCTTTTATCTCTCGGGAGTTATGTACGTTTTCATCAGTCCTCAATCTCTATACTAAATGTCCCACAATCACTTCTCCCTACCTTTACCTCCTTTCCACGCCTACCAACTCCTTTCTCTGTCCGGATAGACGCACTTCTCTCCCATTCACACTATCCTCACCTCCGACCCCTATTTTTTTCTAATCACCTACCTTGGCTTATCCTTCCTTTTTCCCTGATACACCAAAATCAGACCCCCCCCCCCCTTCTATCCTTCTCAATGATTTTCTCAACCATGCCTCAACCCACTCCTCCAGCACTCACATGGCTTCAAACCTGGAGCTGGTTTTGCTGTATTTTCTTCTTCCTATAGCTTCAACTCTTCACTTCCACCTGAATCAAGTGTCCTTACAACTGAACTGTATGCGATCCTCTTTGTATTTGAACACGTCTTCCCTCCCTTTCTCATCCTTCACGATTTTTACCAACTGGAAAAAACTAATTATCTCTTATACAATCTCCACAGCCAGTCAACCCTGTTGTTCGCAAAATTCATGAATAAGTATTTCACTTTAACATACAACACAAGACTCAGTTTTTGATGGATGCTCAGCCACGCTGGGATCCCTGGCACTGAACAGGCAGATACACTAGCACACTCCGCCACCTTGTCCACATCCCATCAACCCAGATTTACACATATACCAGCCTCTGCCTACTACCCTCACTCCCTTACTTTCCTCTTCACCCTCTTGCAGTTTTTTTCTGGTCTAGCCTTACCACTAATAAATTACATAACTTAAAACTTTCTATCCCCCCTTCTGCAATGCCATTCCATAAGAACAGACGCTGGGGAATTGCTCTTGCCCGTTTACGCATTAGACACTCGTCTCACACATTCTTATCTCATCTCACAATCTGATCCACCTCTTTGCTTCTCATGTAATGTTCCTCTTTCAGTCCCATTTATTCCACTATCCTGTCCCCATTTTGCAGCAACCCGCACCTCTGCCTTTCCTCACTTATTCTCACTTCCCCGACCTCTCAATCTATTAGACATCCTTTCAGAATCTCCTACTTTATCTATAGACAACTTATCATCTTCCTCTTACATACAAATATTCTCCATTTGATTTAATTGTCTTAACCCCGTAACTCCTTGCCCTTTTAACAACACTTACCTTATATACCCCATCAACTCATCCTCTCTACCCTTTCACTACCACACTACCCTCTAGTATTAACCTTTAACTTTATCTTAATCATTATCTAATTCCTAACCCATTTTTGCTACTATACTTTATCATAGTGCTATATGACCTTAATGTCTAGCACATTTATTTGTTTTAACTATTAACCATTAACCATTCTGGAAATCCACTAAGCTCGCCTTAGTGAATCAAAAAAATTTCTTGCATGGGGGCTTTGCCCCCAAGCCCCACCCTATCACTATATACCCCCAAACCCTTGCTCAGTGTTGTCGGGGATCACCCCTGCCTT